GGGATGGTTTAGGGGGTTCTGGGGAAATGGGGTCAGTGGATGAGGCAGGCTACAGGAAGGATTTGGGGGCTCCTAAGGGAATGGGTTCAGGGAGTTATACAGATTACAGGAATGGTTTAGGCGGTTCTGGAAAAATTAGTTCAGGAGGTGAGGCAGGTTATAAGAATGTTTTAGGGGGTTCTGGGAGGATCCCATTAGGGAGTGAGGCAGGTTCTAGGGGTAGTTTGGAGGATTCTGGGTACATTTTGTCAAGCAGTGAGGCAGGTTGTGGGCAAGGCTTTGGGGGAACTGGTGGCATGGGGTCAGGGAGTGAGGTCAGTTATAGGGGAGGCTCAGGAGGATCTGGGGAAATGGGGCCAGAGGGTGAGATGCGTTATGGAGATGGTTCAGGGAGGCTTGGAGTACCAGGCTCACTAGCTGGAATAGGACCTGAGGCTGGACCCAGAGGCCACAAAGCCATGGGGCACAGGTCAGGATATTGGGTAGCATCAGAGGGTGGCACGAGCTGCAAGGATGGTCCAGAGCGAGCCAGGGAAACAGGGCTTGTGGATGGGGCAGGACCTGGGGTGGAACCTGGGATGGCTGGAATGCTGGGCACTGCAGGTGGCATGGCACAGAGAGACAGCCCCAGGGGCCCAAGGGTGCTGGGGTCTCAGGGAGGGCCACAGACTCTTTCAGATGAGAGAGGCTCCACCAAAGATCTTGGGAGCTATGGAACCTCAGGGATCCCTGAGGCCTTGGAGGCTGCTGGTGCCAAGGGAAAACCAGATGTCAAAGAATGGCAAGATAGTTCTGGGACTCCAGGGTCTTCTAGGGACAGAGGGGCTCCCAGGGCAAAGGATAGGTCTCCAGACCAAGCAGGGATTATGGGGTCTTCTGGGTTTCTTGATGGCAAGGGGGCAGTAGAAGGTGAAACCTGGGCAGGAATGGCTGCTCTGGGGTCTGGACATGAACAGGACATCTGGAAAGCAGGCCCAGGAATGACAGACAGGGGTAGAGTTGCTGGCCAGGGGAGATTGGCATCTCAGGGAGGCGGGGACTCACTTTTGGGAGGCAGAAGGATAGGCTCAAGGAGCTCAGCGGGGACAGGCCAGGATCTGGACAGCAGCTCTATGCCTGGGGAAAGGGGCAAGTCAACATCAGGGCCTGCTGATGGACTAGGAATGAGCAATGCCTGGGCTCCTGACTGGGAAAACCAGGGGTTTAGCCGAGGCAGCATAGGTGCTGGGAAGCAGCCCGCAGGCTCCAGAGCTTCCGGTTCTCTGCAGGAAAAAGATGCCGCTTTTGGTGGGATCCATGAAGGGCCAGGGGGCTTTAAGGGCAGGGAGGGTACACCAGGCCAAGAGGTGGCTGGTGGATGCCGAAGCCCATGGTCCCTGGATAGCAAAGGTTCAAGTCGTGGAAGGGGCAGTTCTGGTGGTGCAGAGGACTCAGGTATCCTGGGCAAGGGGAATTCTACTGAGTGGGGGAATGCTGTCATCCCAAAACCTGGGGAGTCAGGACCTCAGGGAGCCTGGAATGGCTTAGATGGTCCCTTTGGCAGAAGAGCCTCTGGAGATAGGTCAGGTGGGGCCCAGGACCTGAGCTCTCAGCTAGGCAAGGGACAGAGAGGAGGAAAGAGGTCCCTCGGGGAGCAGGGGTCCCTGGAGGCTGAGGATGGTGAGGTCCAGGATCCTGGGGCCCTAAAGGAGGATGAGGTACAGGGAGTGGAAGAGGCTGGGAGGTCAGGCAGGAGGCCTGGCTCACTTAGGAGCAGGTCTCAGGCACAGTCAGGGGCTGAGGTGGGAGGAGGAAAGAGAAGGGGAGCGGATGAGGCTGGAAGCATGGGATGGCAGTCTATGGGGGAGAACCGGGGGTGCCTGGAGGAGATGCTGAGTGAAGATCAGAGCCGGGAGCCCCCCAGTCACCTTGGTAGCAGGAGAGGTGGCAAAGATGGCAGGTTGGACATCTATGGAGAGAGGAGAGATGCTACCCAGAGTTCCACATCCAGATATAAGCCTGGCACTGGCAGTTTCTCCAAGGAGGCCCGAGGTAGGTGCTTCTCTGCTGAGCTGGCTCCCATGGGCTAGAGACAGTGGGGAGCTCCCTGGCCACTGGGATGCTTGGGTCTGTCCCAGTTCTGCCCCCGGCCCCAGGATTTTGTCCCTGCCAGTACTCCCCATTCTCAGGAACCTTTTGCAAATTTAGGAAGCAACCTCTTCCTCTTTATGAAGATGGGGTCCAGCCTGTGAGAGGCTCAGTGTTCTCCTAGGAGACCTCTTTGCTCTTGAAACCTTATGTCCACAGCACCAGAGTTGTTGACCCAACTCTCTGTGGGTTACCAGACTTCTCACCTGGGTGACTTGCAGCGGCGGGAGGAAGGGGGCCTTCGTATACCTTACACCCCAGGTCTCCTGGACCAGCCTAGGTCCTGCTGAGAAAAGCAGCAATGCTTGGACTCCTGTCTAGGAAGACCAGGGCATTGGCACCAAGGCAGCATAGATGCTGGGAACCAGCCCTGCTGACACCAGCTGTGCCCAGTTGGCAGGACCATGGTGGCCTTGCAGGGCACAGCGCAGGCCATGGCCTGGGAGGCTCAGCTCTGGTGACCCCCTCTGTGTCTCTCCTGGCCCCATAGGCCACTTCTCCCAGGGCCTGGCTGACATGAAGGTGCAGCAGGGGGAGGCTGCCACACTCTCCTGTATCCTCACCAGTGACCTGGGACCCGGCACCTGGTTTAAGGATGGCGTCAAGGTACTGCCTCCCCTCACAGCTTCTCTTTACCAGCAGGAGGGACAGAGGTAAAGCAGAGAACAAGAAGAGGGTAGAGGCTTTGAAAGAAAGATTTTTCATTCTTCATTTTACTAATGTATCCACCTCAGGAGAAGTTTAAATAGCCAATAACTTGGTGTGTTTAAAATAAAATTGGATTTTTAAATGATGTGTATCCTACGCCCTGCAGCACACCCCTTGTTTTTCCACCATCCAAAACGCCTCTTCTATACCCATACCTGCTGAATCCTACCCATGCTTCAAGGGCTTGTATAAATGCTATCTTCTCATCCCTACCAGAAGGGGGCCCCCGTCTCCCTGCACAACCTCCCTGTCCTCCATTAAAGCTGTCACCCCAAGAGAAACATCAAAGTGACTCAGGGCATGGGGCTCAGTATCAGCTAGGTCTGGCTTCAGATCCCGGCTCTGCCACCACCAGTTACGTGACCTCAAGCAAGCTGGCGAACAGTCTGGCTTCCTCATCTATGAAGTGGGACTAATAATAGCACTTACTTCATAAGATTGTTAGACAATTAAATAAGGTGCTAAGCACAGAGAGCATTGGCACACAGTAAGCATTCCATTCACACAGCTGTTATCAGGATCCCGGCATCTGTAAGGGGCTCTGGTTAGCTGGCCTGGAGGAGCTGGGATGGGAATGGGGTAACCTTCTCCTGCTGTGGCCCTGTCTCCAGCTCACCGCCCAGGATGGAGTCATCTTTAAGCAAGATGGTCTCGTGCACAGCCTCTTCATCGCGCGCGTGCAGGGGACCCAAGCCGGGAGGTACACCTTTGTAGCTGGTGACCAGCAGAGCGAGGCCACTCTGACCGTCCAGGGTAAGGCTTAGCCCTGCCCTGCCCTGTCCCACAGTCTCTTTGTACCAGGTGATATGCCTTGCTTTAAAACACCTGAATTTGTGGCTACTCTGCAGCCAGTATCTAATCTCATCCCCAGAGAAGATGATTTAAAAAGCCAACTCATACTCTGCCTATTCCAGCATCTTAGCTCTTTCCTTGTCAGGAAGTCCTTGATGAGGTCTAAGCCTGGTCTCTCCCGCTGCAGATGAAGCCCCTTCCCTTTGTGGCAGGGCAGGGGATTCCTTAATCTTCCCCCAGACTTCCTTCTCTGGGTCCTCCTTTCTGCATTCCCCGGTGCCCAGTGCTCTGGTCTTTGACTCTCTTGTTTTATTTCCAGATTCCCCTACCATTGCTCCAGATGTGACAGAGAAACTGAGAGAGCCACTGGTGGTCAAGGCTGGGAAGCCGGTGACAGTGAAGATCCCCTTCCAGAGCCACCTCCCCGTTCAGGCTGCCTGGAGAAAGGACGGGGCCAAGGTGGTGGGCAGTGGTGACAAGGAGGCCCAGGTGGACCTGGGGGACGGCTACACGCGGCTGTGCCTCCCCAGCACAGGCAGGAAGGACAGTGGCCAGTACAGTGTGACGCTGAGGAGTGAGGGAGGCTCTGTGCAGGCCGAGCTCACCCTGAAAGTCATAGGTACCAACCCCATCTTCCCCCAACCAAGGCCTGAGAGTCCCCAAAGTTCTGGGCCCTCTCTGCCATCAAGGGCAGGCCTGGGGTGTGATCTCTGTGGCTCTGATCCTCATTTGCATGCTGTTTAAGATCCAGACCTACCCCTAATTCTGCTCAGACTGCTTAGGAAGAAGCAGTTGAGAGCAACACAGTGCCGGGCTCCTGCTGGGCGGGGGGGAGCCGATTATGCTTCTCTGACCCCAATGCACTGGGCCCTCAGGAAGCTGCTGGGTAGGATGGCGGTCCCCAGCCCTGAGTGGTGCCAGCAAGGTAGGACTGCTGTGGGCCGAGCAGGTGCCCATACCAGCCCCTGGACAGTGGAGCTGGGACGGGCTGGTGCATTCCATGGCACATCCCTGGGTGCACATATGTGTTGGGGGTGGGGACGTCTCAAGAGTGTGTGACCCTCTGGGTAATGCCCAAGGCTCTCTGGACAGTCTGCCCCATTGCAGGCTTATCCACTGATGAGTGGCAAAGGGGGGCGGGGAGCGGCGCCGTTCCCATCTAGCTCCTCTGACCCCTCCTCTTCCTGCTCTTCTCTGTGGGTCCCTAGACAAGCCTGATCCCCCACAAGGCCCCATGGAGGTTCAGGATTGCCAGAGGGCTGGGGTCTGCCTCTGCTGGCGGCCCCCAAGGGATGATGGGGGCCAGCCTGTAGAGTGCTACGTGGTGGAGAGACGGCAGGCTGGCAGGAGCACTTGGCTGAAGGTGGGCGAGGCCCCCGCTGACAGCACCACCTTCACGGATGCCCATGTGGAGCCAGGCAGGAAGTATGCCTTCCGAGTGCGGGCTGTGACCTCGGAGGGGGCTGGCGAGGCCCTGGAGTCCGAGGAGATATTGGTGGCTCCTGAGGGTGAGAGAAAAGGCTGGGGCTGGGGGTGGAGGACACTCCTGGGCTCCCCGCTGTGCCAAGGAGGGCAGGCTGTCCCAGAGGCTGAATGACACTAGCCTGTGCTCAGGGCTTCGGAGGCCCTTCTATAGCACTCTGGAGACTCCTTCCCTCAGCTGCATTTGGGATCTGGCACCCAGATGAGGAAGTGTTTTACAGAGTCTCCGGGAGTGAGGGTATGGGCCAGCAAAGCCTACTGTCTCACGCCCCAGGGAGAGAGGGGCATCCACCTCCAACATCCTATCAGGGGACCAGAGGCGGAGGGGCCTCAGGGCTGGCTCTAGGCTCCAAGGCCACGGTGCCACGGTGCCTTCTCTGTCTTTTCATTCCTTCCCTTGAATAGCTGGAACACTGACCTAGGGTGGGCTGGCTCAGCCCCGACACTCGCCAGGACTGGGAGGAGTGTGGCCTGCCCCAGATGCCCGTGCCTCCTACCCCCAGGGGCTCCCCATGAGCTGGCACCTTTCAAGGCCTCTGGCTGACTGGAATCTTCCTTGCCCCCAGCTCTCCCCAAGGCCCCTTCCGCGCCAGCCATCCTGTCAGCCTCCAGCCAGGGCATCACGCTGACATGGACGGCACCTAGGGGCCCTGGCAGCGCCCACATCCTGGGCTACCTGATCGAGAGGCGTAAGAAGGGGAGCAACACCTGGACAGCAGTGAACGACCAGCCAGTGCCTGGTAAGCATTGTCCTGGCTTCCAGAGCTTCCTTAGACCGCTCCTGGCTCCAGGATGCCAGGAACTTGTCAGTTCAGATTGGTTTAACATAGTGGTTCTTATCTAGGGTGGTTTGGCAGTATCTGGAGATATTTTTCATGGTCACAACTGGGTGGAGGGTAGATTTTACTGGCATCTAGTGCAAAGAGGTCAGGTATGCTGTTAAACATCCTACAGTACACAGGACAGAACGCACCCCCTCCTCTCAAAAATCCCAAAGAAGTATCTGGCAAAAAAAAAAAATGTCAATCATGCTGAGGTCAAGAAGCCCTGATTCAGAAATCCCAGCTGGTGGCCCCTCCACTTCTTGCCTTGACCTTGGACAGTTCACTTCCTCTCTAGATCTGAATTTCCACATCCATGAAGTGGAGAGGAGGGTCCCCTGCCCCACTAAGTAGTTTCCTAAGAAACAAACTGCATTCTGAGATCAGAAAGAACTTGGAAAAGCCAACGGGCTGGGCAGATGCGAGGGATCTTCTGGTAGCCCTTAGCATTTCTTTGCTCTGCGTGCGTGCTGCAGAAGTCCAGGTTTGAGGAGGGAAGAACGGGTTCAGAACAGCTTGCCAGGAGACCTGGGTTCAGGTCATGGCTCTGCTACTTAGAAGCTGAGGCCTGTCAGGGCTTCAGTTTCCTTATCTCTGGAAAGAGAGATGAACAAAGGGCAGCCTTACAATTTCACTATTTAGTTATCCTGCTTTATTTAAATATGACAGCAACTCTGTAAGGCAGAGACAACCAGGGAGACTAAGGTACTTGCCCAAGAACATCCAGCAAGTTAGTGGTGGAACCAGACAGGAATCCGAGGCCCCTGACACCCTCCCTGAGCAGTGCTCTTTCCACTTTGGAGGGAACTGAGTCACAGTGGGTGGAGGGCTGTAGGGAGGAATGTGTTAGGACCCCAGGCTTGGTCTCCTTCAGAACTTGGAGGCACCCAAGCTATCTCCCCATGGCCAGCCCCGTCCGGGTGGGACTCACATGAGCGGGCTCTTCACAGAGAGGAGGTGGACGGTGGCAGACCTGCGGCAGGGCTGTCAGTACGAGTTCCGGGTCACAGCTGTGGCTCCCTCAGGCCCTGGAGAGCCTGGACCCCCATCAGATGCCGTCTTTGCTCGGGACCCCATGAGTAAGTAGGGAACCAACCCAGGATGGGGGTGGGGGTGAGGAAGGGATAGCCCTGAAGCCGGGTGGGACTTGACGGGAGATCACAGGTCACAGGTCGGGGCAGTCCTGAAGGACATGGTCAGGAGGGCTGAGATATAAAAATCAAAAGGCCTCTCGGGTGAGCCACATCTTAGGGCCCCTATATTGAGATCAAATAGGCCCAGAAGCCAGGCAGTGGGATTAGAAGATTCCTTCCCTGTTAAGTGTAATGGTTCATACTTGTAATCCTAGCACTTTGGGAAGCAGAGGCAGGAGGATTGCTTGAGCCCGGGAGTTGGAGGCTGTAGTGAACTGTGATTGCACCACTGCACTCCAGCCTGCATGACAGAGGGAGACCCTGTCTCAAAAAAATAATAATAAAACAAAATAAAAAGGGGGAGTTCTTTTCAGGATCACTTCACTCACTCTTTGGCCTCTAGGCAGGCCAGCCCCCAGTCTGGCCCACCTGCTCTAGTCCCATAAGCATCCACTCACCCCTGTGTGCCCATCAGGCAGGGCGGAGAGCAGGTGATAGGGGAAGCTCAGCGTCAATTCTCTATCCAATGAATATTTGCCCATCACCTACTAAATGGCCAGCATTGTGCCAGGAAGTAGGTGAATCGATCCTGGTCTCTGCCCTTGAGAAACTTACAGTCTGAGATAGCATTTCCTATCTGAGACCTGTGGTCTTGAGAACATGGAGTGTATCGAGAGATGCCAACAGACATTCTGAGAACAACAGGAACAGCAAAAAATGTCTGTGATCAAAGATGTGTATGATGTGAGCCTATGATGTTTCCTGCAGGGGAAAAATACCTGTCTAACCTTGATCCAAATCTAGCTTTTTCACAAAATACCTATTAAAAGCGTCACTCCAAGGCATACAGCTTAGAAAATGCTGCTCTGTATTTCTCATCCCCTAATGAGCTTGCCTACACCAGGTCCTCTAGGGAGCAGCACATTTCTGGCACTTGCTGGATGGGCCAGGTGGTCAACACCTGGAGAGCATCTCTGTGCCCCACAGAGCCTAGCCCATTGCAGGTGTTCAGGCTGTTTGAATGAACCCAACAAGACCGGAATATTCTGTAAGTTTCATTGTTCAAGTCGTATCTGAGTTTTAGTCCTAGGAAGGGCAGGGTGTGGAATGGAGGGATCAGGGAGGAAAGCTGGCCCGTGCAACTTACTCCTTGCAAATGGACCAAGGCTGTCCTATCTTTTCTCTTTCTTTTCTTTTTCTTCTGTGTTCTTTTCTTTTCTTTTCTTTCTCTCTCTCTCTTCTTTCTCTCTTTCTTTCTTTCTTTGTCTCTTTCACACTCTCTCTTTCTCTTTCTCTCTTTCTCTTTCTCTTTCTTTCTTTCTTTCTTTCTTTCTTTCTTTCTTTCTTTCTTTCTTTCTTTCTTTCTTTCTGACAGGATCTCACTCTTTTACTTAGGCTGGAGTGCAGTGATGCAATCTTGGCTCATTGTAGCCTTGAACTCCTGGCCTCAAGCAATCCTCCTGCCTCAGCCTCCTAAGCAGCTGGAACTATGAGCATGTGCCACCACACCCTGTTAATTTATGTTTTTGTAGAGACAGGGTCTCGCTGGTCTTGAACTCCTGGTCTCAAGCTATCCTCCTGCCTTGGCCTCCTAAAGTGCTGTGATTACAGGCATGAGCCATGGACCCACAGCCTATTAATCTCTCCTATCAGTGGTGGGAAGTAGAGACAATGGATAGAATAAGCAGTGTCTAATAGCAGCCACGGCAATCACTACATTTTCTGGATTCTTGCTGCTAAGCAAGGCCTATGGCCCAGCAACATCATCTTATTAGAATTTATGAGAAATGCTGAATCTCAGGCCTCACCCCAGACCTACTGAATAAGGGTCTGTATTTTTACCAAAATCCCCAGGTAACTTCTATACTAATTAAAGTTTGAGAAGTACTGCCCTAGCCTAGTGGTTTTCAAACTTCATTGCATATTTAGAAACACGTGGAAAACTCTTAAAAATGTTGATGCCTAGACTGCACCCCAGACTAATTAAATCAGAATCTCTGAGGTGGCATCTAGGTGCCAGTATTTTTAAGCTCACCAGGTGATTCCACACTCATTGTGCTTTTTGCTTGTTCTAAAACCTCTGTGGGTAGGTGGGGCTATTATTATTGTTCTCATGTAACAAGTGGAGAACAAGAAGCCTGCACTGAGTGCCCAAAAGGCAGAGTCTTGACTCTAATAAGAGTTTAGAGTCCAGAATAAAAACATGTAGAAGTCCAGTCTTACGGGATAATGGAACCCAAGAGGTCATCAACTAAAATCTCGGTTTTCTGGCATTACAGAAGGATAGTTAGGAGAAGGCATTTGGCAGGTTGGTGAATGAATGAGGGAAATGAGTTGGGGGGAGGCTTCCTGGGAGAGGTGGCCTGGGATCTGTGTGCATAACGGAGACAAAGTGCTGGTTACAGTAAGAATTTGGAACAAGGTAGGTGCTTCAGGAAGAATCTAAAGGCAGAATTGCTAAGTGGAAAAACTTCCCAGTCTCCCACAAGGAAGGCTAATCAATATCCACACTGAGTGGCCTCCCTTAGGAGACGCCATTCCTGACACTCCCATGCTGCCTGGCAGGACCTCCTGAGCCGGTGAGGAATCTCCAAGTCACAGACACATCGAACACCAGCATCACTCTGAGCTGGGCTGGGCCAGACACCAAGGACGGGGACGAAGCCCAGGGGTATGTGGTGGAGCTGTGTGGCTCAGACAGTCTCCAGTGGCTCCCGTGCCATGCGGGCACCGTGCCAGTCACCACTTACACGGCCAAGGGCCTTCGGCCTGGAGAGGGCTACTTTGTGCGGGTGACAGCAGTTAATGAAGGAGGTCAGAGCCAGCCCACTGCCCTGGACACATTAGTGCAAGCCATGCCTGTTACTGGTGAGTGCTGCCTCCTTCCCCGACCTCTGAGCCCTGCAAGCCCCTCCTGAGAGGGGTTCCCTGAGTAGCCGCCATGCACTTGCTAAGCCAGGATCTCCACCCTCAGTTTCAGGAAGTAACATTTATTGAGCACTTACTAGGTGCTAGGCACTGGGCTAGGCAGTCCCTTCTTAGAAATGTTTTCTCATTACGACTCATAACTATACTACAACATTAATGTTTCTATTCTGAAGTTACAGAGAAGGAAACCGAGGTTCAAGGTACTTTGCCCACGTTGTCACCAATGGTATGTGGTAGAGCCAGGATTTAAACCTGGAGACTCCAAAGTTGATGTTATCTAGGAGAGAGAGTGGCTGCTTCCTGCACATGGCCTTAGAAGGCCTAAGTGCAGCTCAGCTCCTGTGGTTCACGTTCAGAATGGGACATGCCCAGGTCCCCATTATTATTGAAAAGAGGATCGTCTTTCCCTTTGGGCTTTAACCACTACAAGCACCTGACCTGCCTTTGACCCAAGCTGACACTGGGCCACCCCAGCTGACCCTAGTCATCACTGTGACAGTAGGGAGACACAAACACAGCACATGGAGTCCAGAGTCCCAGAATCTTGTCCTGGCTTTCTCCCAAACAAAGTGTGACCTCAGGCAAGTCACTTCCTGTCTTAGATTGGTGTCTATCTCATCTGCAAAACATAAGTGCTCTGCCACATATCAGCATCTTCCTCTGTTCCAGCCTAGTCCACCCCTCTCCCTGCGGGGTCCCTTTCTCAGCTCCTGTCCCTCCCCTGCTAGCATCTCCCCACCAGCCCCTGGGGTGCCCCCTGAAGATTCTGCTCCCAGCTGCACTCCAGTCCTTTAGAGGCCCCAACGTGTTGGGATCTCAGCATCCCAACTGGCCCATTCTTCCCCTCCAGCCCTGCCTTGCTGGGGACCTGGGGCTGGGGTCCAACTGGGAGGCAGAAGGGAGGTAACCAGTCCTCTTGTGTGTTTCAGTCTGTCCTAAGTTCCTTGTGGACTCCAGCACCAAGGACTTGCTGACGGTCAAGGTCGGGGACACTGTTCGTGTGCCCATCTCCTTTGAAGTGAGTATACCTACAGGGGTGTGGGGAGGGAAGCCCAGAGAGGCCAAGGGGGCCAGACTCAGCCCTGTGGCTCTCTTTTCTTCCCTATTCCTTTTTGGCCCCTAGTCAGTGTCCTGGGCTTGTGGAAATCAGGCGAGAGACATGAGGAAGGAAGGATTCAGGTCCTCCTTGAAGGTACCGCCCTCACTTGGCCACTGGGTGGCCATTCTGCTCCAGGCCTGCACATCCCTCTAGTGGTAGCTTCTGCTACTGCACCTCCAAATTAAGGCTCTTCCGGTTCTCCACCTCTCCTAGTTTGGGAATTCAGAAAGCCGGCCGTGCCGATGGTCCCCTTTGGCTTCGCAATGTATTTTTGTGCAATCACATGACCTACATTTGACTCAGGGTGATCCTTAACCAACACTAACACCACCTGACTTTATAACAGTAGGGTGGTGGCTAAAAGTACAAACTGCCTGGGTTCAAATTTTGACGTCATCACTCACAGCCGTTTGACTTTGGACAAATATTATTTATTTATTTATTTATTTATTTATTTATTTATTTAGAGATGGAGTCTCACTCTGTCTCCCAGTCTGGAGTGCAGTGGCGAGATCTCGGCTTACTGCAACCTCCATCTCCTGGGTTCAAGCGATTCTCCTGCTTCAGCCTCCGGAGTAGCTGGGATTACATGCGCCCGCCGTCACACCTGGCTAATTTTTGTATTTTTAGTAGAGCTGGGGTTTCGCCATGTTGGCCAGGCTGGTCTTGAACTCCTGACCTCAGGTGATCCACTTGCCTCGGCCTCGCAAAGTGCTGGGATTACAAGTGTGAGCCACTGTGCCCAGCCAGGACAAATATCTTAACATCTCTGTGTTTCACCTTCCTCATCTGTCAAAAGGGGATAATAATAGTAACCTATCTCAAAAGTCTGAGGGTTCAAGGAATTAATATATTGAAAGTGTATATGTAGGGCCTGGCATATGGCAGCACCCAATATGTTTTAATATTATTATTGTTTAAAATCATCATCATCTGTGTAGGAAGCTCATAGCACACAGAGCCAGATTCAAACCAGTCTATCTTACTCTAAATGACTTGTTCTTAACCACAATAATGATAGTGATAATGATGACAAAAATATTTAATGCACATTGAGTAATTATCATGTACTAGGTCTTGTTCTCTCTGCTTTCCATGTATTTATTATTAACACTTTAAATTCTCAGAACAATCCTGTAAGTTCAGTTAGTTACTATCAGTGTCTTCATTTGACTCTGGTACCCACCGTGCCCTGTACTGAGGGCCCCATAGGGAACTGGCGGCACAGTCACCAAGCAGCTGGGCTGGCCTTCCCACCCTGCTCAGGGTCACCACAGTTCAAGGCCAGGACACCGAAATCTTCCTCCTAGACTTTTGCCAAATTATCTCCTATGTGGGTGCCAGGGTAGTTAACACTCCCCTCCCCACACATCCCTTCTCATTCCCATCCCACCCCCTGCAATGTGGATCCAGAACTCATTATGCTTTCCTGCTCAGAATCTGACAGCAGTGGCTCCTGGCTTACAGGATAACATCCAGATGTCTGTACAGGTGTGACGTGGAGGGCACTTTGCATTTTTGCCAAATCTCCTCGTCCAACTTCCTTTCCTGTTCCACTGCCCCCCTACCATCCCCATCTGCCAACCTCACACTTTATCACCACCCCTCTTTCTCACCTGTGTTTTCTTGTCTACGTTCTGCGTTTTCTTGCCAACTTTCTCCTTGTAGAAGGCTCTTCTCACCACTTCTACCTTCAGCCTAGCTTAAATGCCATCACCTCCATGAAACTGCCAGCTGCCCTTCTCAACTTTTCCTTCCTCTCCTTTCTCAGGCCGTGCCCATGCCTGAGGTGACCTGGCTGAAGGACGGCTTGCCCTTGCCCAAAAGAAGTGTGACCGTCACAAAGGATGGCCTCACCCAGCTTCTGATCCCTGTGGCTGGCCTCTCAGACAGTGGTCTCTACACTGTAGTGCTGAGGACCCTGCAGGGGAAGGAGGTTGCCCACAGCTTCCGTATCAGGGTGGCAGGTGAGGCAGGCCTGGCTCTGGGCTCTGGACGCTGGCTTGGCCACTCACCAAGGCAAGGAGATGTCCACGGGTCTGGGCATAGGTCTCAGCCACTCTACCAGGGCTAGGTATGCAAGGTGACCATGCTCCACCTTTCCTCTGTGCTTGATGATACAAAGTAGAAAGGACCCCGGAAGCTTCCCAGGGACTTCCATTGTCCTTCTGCCTCAGGAGCCTAGAGACAGTCATGTCATGGCTCCTCTCCAACCTCAGTTATCCTTCCCTTTGAGTCAGTGAGCAGAGGCAGTCACCACTGTTACATCACTCCAAAGACCCAGGGGACAAAATTGTTTGCAGCCGTTGCACAGAATAAAGGCTTTCCTCCCCAGCTGTGGCTCCACACAGCCCCTGCCCTGGAGGAGCTTCTGGATATACAGAAATGATCAAATAGACTAACAGTGGGGGCTCTGTAATGCGGCCTCATGAGAGCCCTGCCTCTGTCCAAAAATGCATGTCTTGTCCTGTGTCATTTTACTTAAAAACTGAAGTGAATTATAATTACTCTTTTGGGGAGATTTTCTACCCTCTAGAGATAACTGTGGACATCTGGCCAAACTCACTCTGGCCCCAGCTACCTGTGTGGCAAGACTGCATTCCCCAGGACCCTTAGAAGACTTGGGACCTGGAGGGGGCTGGCAGCAGCCCTGCTGGGTCCCCTCCACGTGACCTCCCTCTGCCGTCTCTCTTGAAGTATGTCCGCAGGCACCTGGGCCCATCCACCTGCAGGAGAACGTGCCTGGGACGGTGACGGCTGAGTGGGAGCCCTCTCCGGACGAGGCCCGGGGTGTCCCGCTACACTATACAGTGTTCACACGCTCCTCGGCACATGGCCCCTGGCGCGAGGCAGCCGACCGCATCCACACCAACCGCTTCACCCTCCTGGGCATCCTCCCTGGCCACGAGTACCACTTCAGGGTGGTGGCCAAGAATGAGCTGGGGGCCAGCAAACCCTCGTACACCAGCCAGCCCTGGTGCATCCCCCGGCAGCGCGGTAAGCAGCCCCTGAGAGGGAGGAGGAGGCAGGGTGGGGGTTGCACTCTGCAGTGCAGCGGGATGCTCCCAAGCATGGCAGGTGCACAGGATAGGGACTGTGGCAGAGATGGCCTGGAGCATGCCAAATAACAGCCAGCATCCCTGAGCTGCTGCTGCTCCCTCTCCTGTCTCACACCTACCTGTACTGACATCCTCTGCACCCCTGACCTCCGTGGGGAGAATGAGATTGGTGTGGGTGTTTGGGTGTCTGAGGTGCCTTTGGGAGGATTTTCAAAAGCAGTCACAGACAATAAGGCAAATAGAGGTTAACATTTCTCTGAAAACAAAGTGTATTTTACAGCAAGGTAGATGTGGACCTTAAGATCAGTCACTAGAAGAGCAGGCTATAAAATCAAATGAAGGTTTCTTTTTCATAAAATACAAAAATGTCAGGAAAGCTCTACACCAAAATGTCAGCTATGGTCATCTACAGGTAGTGACATTATGACTGGTTTTTATTCTTTCTCCTTTGATTCTCGGTGTATTCTCATTGTCCACAGTGAATGTGTGTTAGCTACCAAAAAATCCATAAAGTAAAAAAAAAAAAAAAATCCATAAAGAATTTTGGGAAAAGGATAGAATGAGGCAAGCCTTGGGGTCCAAATTTGCAGGCAAGATGTGGCAGGAAATCCCAGGTAAGGCCTACATGGTAGTGTCTTGAGCTCTCTACCCAGACTCGAGTCTCAGCCAGGCCTTCCTCACTTTCTCACCCTCCTCCCTCTCACCCCGGCTTTCACCACAGACAGGTTCACAGTGAAGGCTCAGCGCTACCGGGAGCCCGACCTGAGCCAGAAGCCCCGGTTCCTGGTGGGCCTGCGGTCCCATCTCCTGCCCCAAGGCTGCGAGTGCTGCATGAGCTGCGCCGTGCAGGGCTCGCCCCGGCCCCACGTCACCTGGTTCAAGAACGACCGCAGCCTGGAAGGAAACCCCGCAGTGCACAGCACTGACCTGATGGGCGTGTGCTCCCTCACCATCCCCAGCGTATCCCTGAAGGACAGCGGCGAGTACAAGGCTGTGGCCGAGAACACGCTGGGCCAGGCAGTCAGTACTGCCACCCTCATTGTCATAGGTAATGGTGGCTGCCCTGGCAGTGGGACAGGAAGGAGAGCCAGGAGAGCAGTCACCTGCCTGCCTTCAGGGAGCCTCCGGGGGGCGCCTAGAGGGATTCAGCGGGGAGTCAGGAGACCAGGACTCTCTGCCTGACTCTATGACCTTTCAGCTATTTAACCTACCAACACAAGCCCACATGTGGTCTCGATTTGCCCACTTTTTTAAAAAAAATTATTGTTATTGTTTTTATTATCATTATTATTATTATTGAGATGGAGTTTTGCTCTTGTTGCCCAGGTTGGAGTGCAATGGCGTGATCTCGGCTCACTGCAGCCTCCACTTTCTGGGTTCAAAATATTCTCCTGCCTCAGCCTCCCGAGTAGCTGGGATTACAGGCCTCCGCCACCACACCCGGCTAATTTTTTTGTATTTTTAGTAGAAGCAGGTTTTCGCCATGTTGGCCAGGCTGGTCTCAAACTCCTGACTTCAGGTGATCCACCTGTCTCAGCCTCCCAAAGAGCTAGGATTACAGGCGTGAGCCACTGTGCCTGGTCGATTTGTCCACTTTTAAACTGAGGTATTTGAACTTGGTGAGCAACTCTTGATTGAAAGGCTGCGTACTGCCCACCTGCGCTTCCCAGTGGGGCCACACGACACATTGCAGGCTGAGAAATGAACAGGCGTCCGTATTGTTCTTTCTTAAATATGTCGAGATATGGACATTTAGTGCCTAGAAAGCCATGCTGATTCTCTCGTTGGTAGTCTCCTTTTCAGTACTGCAGATAATATATGTTAATAAAGTTTTTCCTTCAATAGTACTTAAAACACCTTATATTTTGAATAGTAATAAAAGGCAAGCCTCAGGTGACCTTTGTGGAAAAACAACCCCTCTGCACTGGAGCAGAGTATCTCTCCTCTCCGCAGCGCCCATGCTTAGGCATTAGGAAGCCACTCTCGAAGCACCGCAGCTCGTGTACACATGTAGTCCCGGAACAAAGCTGGCATTGGGTGTGGCTATGGTTCCCCGAGGGGCCAGCAAAGGGCTTTGCCCAAGCTCAGAGAGCACATGGTGGCTCCAGATTTGAATCCACACCCCTGATGGCAGAGCCTGTAGCCTAAGCACCATGCTGAGTTTTCTTCACCACTGAACAGGTGTGGGGCAGGGTGGCTGCCCCTCTGGACCAACTGGAATATCCTGTGTCTTGCAGAACCCAGCGCCTAGCCTCACCTCACCCTGGGATGGTCCTGGACCCTTGAAGCTTCACTTCTGACACCTGCACTGGCCTGGGAGGCCAATCCCAAGGATGGAGGCTGTGCCCAGAGCCCCAGGAAGACAAGAGTGAGAAGACTCCTGGTGAGGTTTTGGCCAGGAGGACATGAAGTCCTTGGGGAAGAAAAACAAGGGAGGAGGCCATTCTGCCTCCTGGCTCCAAGCTAAGTCACTCAACGGAATGACAGTGAACCTCCTGGACCCTCATCATATGGGTTTCTTTCTTCTTCGCTTCAGGAGATCCAGAGGGCACCTGCCTGCAGGATGGGCCAGCTCCTTATTTTCCTGGGCTGAGCCCCTTGGAGGGAGGGTGGGCACAGCTGGGCCTGCTGTGACCACAGGGAGGGAAGAGGAGAGGAGGTCAGAGGACCTGGGTGAGGACAAGGGCATCAAGGGTGTGTGTGTGGTGGGGGCAGGGGTACGGCATGTGCTTTCTGTACATTTCTTCATTAAAACGTTAGGCTAATACAGGCAGATCGTTTGCAAATTTACTTGGGGTGGGTGTGTTGGAGGAAAGATTTCCAAAGCAGAGCCTTTATTCCAGGCTTCAGTTGGGAGGATGGGTGGGTTCTGGACGGAGGGGAGAATGGGCTCAGAATCGGACTCTTCTCCTGCAGCCCAGGCCTGCATAGTTGATTGCAAGGGTGAGAAAGCCAAGAAAGGTTAGAGGGTGATGGAGATGCTTCTCTTCCTCCCAGCCCGTGTTTCCTGCACTCCTCTGACTGGCAGGAATCCTGTGAGCAGCAGGGCTGGAGGCCTCCCCAGGTGTTATATGTGTGGAGACCACAAGGCGGGCTGGGGTTACCTAGGGCTGTCCTATGTCTGTCACTCCCTCGGACTAGAAAGAGTCTGAGTTGGGGAGAATCCTACCCCAGGATCTGAGCCCCTGTTAGAAGGGGAAGAAAGAGGCCATCAAGTGCATGACGGTGTGACTCACTCAAGGCTGCATGGGCCTCCTCACCTTCTCCACAGCCCCCACTGCCCCATGTCACAGGAGGGATGGGATGACTCCCTTTCCCAGGTGGGTCACCCCACCACTGCCCCCAGAAGCCTTGCACTCCATTATCCTGAAGACATGGCCCCCAAACTCTCAGGCTCCCCAGAAATATTCAAGAGTTTCCAGGAGCCAAAAGAAAGGAAGGAGCCCCGGGGAAGGCTGAGTCCCACTCTCCCAGGACATCAGCTCTGAGGTCACCAGCAGGTGACCCGATGAGCTAGAACACTGTCTGCCCTTCATTCCCTCTGCTCAGATCCTGGCTTCTGCTTCCCTCAGTCTCCCTTTGCCACCAACTGCAGGTCAGATGCATGAAGGAAGAAGGGTGAATCACGGGAGGAGGGGTTAATGCCAAAAATCCGTTTCTGAAGAGTGAGAATATGTGACCAAGGGAAGGTTCTCTGAACCAGAGAGAGAACTGTTCACCCAAAATAGACCAAGAGTGTCCCCCAGAGGCAGGGGCACAGCAGACGACCTTTTACAGCTCATTCCTTCCCCCACCAAAGAAACCTGCATAAGCTGTTTTCCTTGGAATTTCTCTTGTTATCTCTACCTTGCTATCACAGCAGGCCAACAGCATGGCCATGGGAAAAGAAGGAAGTGATTAGAAACTGAGAGGCAGTGGCTGGACACCTCAGCCTGTGTGGGGCTATTCTCATGAGTGCTTTCCATGCTGCGCAGTCCTGTAGTTGAAGGAGGGCAGGGCCTCAGGCCAATAGTCTGTGGTTTCAGAAATGCAGAGAAGTCGTTTGCACAGAGAGGGTGACCCAGTGCCTGTGGCATGCCTAGCTCTGAGAAGACACTCATATTAAGGATGAGAAGAGAGACCTTTCTGCACCTCTAAGGGTGGGGTACAAGGAACTGACCTTTCGAAGCAATATAGGGACAAAAGACTATAACCCATGATGGCTTCATGAGACATTTTCATTTGTTTGATGAGCCTGGATCAGGCATTGTGGAGGCAGAGATGCAGGTGACTCAGATATGAGTCCTATCGCCAAGGGACCCATGGCAGGGAGGCAAGACTTCTATACCAAGAACCATTATCCAAGGTAGCCGGTGATGCATACTCTAAGAAATGCACCAAAGTCCAGAGGAGTTCAGAGGAGGAGAGATGTTGCAGGCTGAGAACCTCAAGGAGGGCTACCTAAAGTGGTAACATACTTGAGGGAAAAGTAGCAACTGGACAGGCAGGAATGGGCAAGGGTGTATCAGGGTGGAGAACACCATGAGCAAAAGCAAGGAGGTGTGAAGCAAAAATTGGGTTAAAGGACTGGGAAGTGGTTCAGTTTGGACAACTTAGGGTGACCTATGTAGCTATCACAGCCCTTTGGTCTAATGCCAAAGAGAAACATTCCTGGACCAAATTTACAGGTGTATGTGTGCTCTGGGCACCAACCATGATGGAGGCAGAGTTCCTACTCTCACAGAACTGGGACAGTGGAAAGCAGTGGTCTTTTTTGGCAGTGGACAGCAGAATACCAATATCCTGGGGCAGGCTAGGTTAGGTGTCCCTGGGAGGGTCTAGCATACTTCTGTAACTAGGGTGGGATATGAAGGCAAAAGGAACAGTCATGGCACTTTCATTCATTCCCACACAAAGCCAAAAAAAGTCCTTGCCAGTCAAGTATAGAATCTGAGTGTATCTCAAAATATTAAGAGCTATTTATGACAAACCCACAGCCAATATCATACTGAATGGGCAAAAACTGGAAGCATTCCCTTTGAAAACCGGCACAAGACAAGGATGCCCTCTCTCACCACTCCTATTCAACATAGTGTTGGAAGTTCTGGCCAGGGCAATCAGGCAAGAGAAAGAAATAAAGGGTATTCAATTAGGCAAAGAGGAAGTCAAATTGTCCCTGTTTGCAGATGACATGATTGTATATTTAGAAAACCCCATTGTCTCAGTCCAAAATCTCCTTAAGCTGATAAGCAACTTCAGCAAAGTCTCAGGATACAAAATCAATGTGCAAAAATCACAAGCATTCCTACACACCAATAATAGACAGAGAGCCAAATCATGACAGAACTCCCATTCACAATCGCTTCAAAGAGAATAAAATACCTAGGAATCCAACTTACAAAGGATGTGAAGGACATCTTCAAGGAGAACTACAAACCACTGCTCAATGAAATAAAAGATGACACAAACTGCTCATGGACGTCAAAAGACAACACTGCTCATGGATAGGAAGAGTCATTATCATGAAAATGACCGTACTGCCCAAGGTAATTTATAAATTCAACACCATCCCCATCAAGCTATCAATGACTTTCTTCATAGAATTGGAAAAAAATACTTTAAAGTTCATATGGAACCAAAAAAGAGCCCGAATATCCAAGACAATACTAAGCAAAAAGAACAGAACTGGAAGAATAATGATACCTGACTTCAAACTATACTACAAGGCTACAGTAACCAAAACAGCATGGTACTGGTACCAAAACAGACATACAGACCAATGGAACAGAACAGAGGCCTCAGAAATAGCACCACACATCTACAACCATCTGATCCTTGACAAACCTGACAAAAACAAGAAATAGGGAAAGGATTCCCTATTTAATAAATGGTGCTGGGAAAACTGGCTAGCCAAATGTAGAAAGCTGAAACTGGATCCGTTCCTTACACCTTATACAAAAATGAATTCAAGATGGATTAAAGACTTAAATGTTAGACCTAAAACCAAAAAACCCTGGAAGAAAACCTAGGCAATACCATTCAGGACATAGGCATGGGCAAAGATTTCATGACTAAAACACCAAAAGCAATGACAACAAAAGCCAAAGTAGACAAATGGGATCTAATTAAACTAAAGAGCTTCTGCACAGCAAAAGAAACTACCATCAGAGTGAAGGGGCAAACTATAGAATGGGAGGAAATTTTTGCAATCTACCCATCTGACAAAGGGCTAATATCCACAATCTACAAAGAACTTAAATTTACGAGAAAAAAACAAGCAAGCCCATCAAAAAGTGGGCAAAGGATATGAACAGACACTTCTCAAAAGAAGACATTCATGCAGCCAACAGACACATGAAAAAAATGCTCATCATCACTGGTCATCAGAGAAATGCAAATTGAAACCACAATGAGATACCATTTCATACCGGTTAGAATGGCAATAATTAAAAAGTCAGGAAACAACAGATGCTGGAGAGGATGTGGATAAATTGGAATGCTTTTACACTGTTGGTGGGAGTGTAAATTAGTTTCACCATTGTGGAAGACAGTGTGTGGTGATTCCTCAAAGATCTAGAACTAGAAATACCATTTGACCCAGTGATCCCATTACTGGGTATATACCCAAAGGATTATAAGTCATGCTACTATAAAGACACATACAGCACTGTTCACAATAGCAAAGACTTGGAACCAACCCAAATATCCATCAATAATAGACTGGATTAAGAAAATGTGGCACATACACACTATGGAATACTACAGAGTCATAAAAAAGGATAAGTTCATGTCCTTTGCGGGGACATGGATGAAGCTGGAAACCATCATTCTCAGCAAACTATCACAAGGACACAGAAAACCAAACACTGCATGTTCTCACTCACAGGTAGGAATTGAACAATGAGAACACTTGGACACATGGTGGGGAACATCACGCACTGGGGCCTGTTGGGGAGTGGGGGACTGGGGGAGGGATAACATTAGGAGAAATATCTAATGTAAATGACGAGTTGATGGGTGCAGCAAACCAACATGGCACATGTATACCTATGTAACAAACCTGCACGTTGTGCACATGTACCCTAGAGCTTAAAGTATAATTAAAAATAAAAAAAAGAATCTGAGCATATGTTTAAGGGTTTAAAGACTAGTTCCACTGCTAACTAGTTGTGCAAGATCTTTAACCTATTTATGTCTCATTCCTCATTTGTAAATTAAGAATAACAGTTGCCTAATCCAAGGTCACAAAGATTTTTCTCCTGTTTTCTTCTAGAAGTGTTATGGTTTTACTTCTTGCATTTCATTCTATGCATTTTAAGTTAATTTTTGTATGTGGTGTGAGGTATTAAGAGTCAAGCTGTGTTTTTTTCTTAGAGTTTCTTTTTCTCCATTGAATTACCTTGGAATGCTTGCTGAAAGTCAATTAACCATATATTAGTGGGTCGACTTTTAGACTATTACTTATTCCTCTTCTATTTTCTGGAAAAGTTTGTATAGAGTTGATGTTACATCTTCATTAAATGTTTGGTAGAATTCACCAATAAAGCCACTGGACGTGGAGTTTTGTTTGTGGGAAGGATTTGCCCTCAGACTCAATTTTTTTAGCAAATATATAGGGCTATCCAAGCTATCAATGACTTCCTGAATGACCTTTGATAATTTGCGACTTTTAAAGAATTTGTCAATTCTTGTTGAATTTGTTGGTACAAAGTTGTTTATAATATTCCCTT